TGAGTCGGGGCGAAGCCGCTGGCGGCGGCCGCTGCGTGAAGGAGGCCGGGGCGAGCGGCGTGAGCGTGAAGGTGAGTCGGGGCGAAGCCGCTGGCGGCGGCGGCGGCGTGAAGGGGGCCGGGGCGAGCGGTGTGAAGGGAAGGTGGGGCGAAGTGGCGAACGCGGAGCGGTTGTTGAACAGAGGACGTGCGGGGTGAGACGAAGCGGGGGATTAGCGTTTCGTTAACGAAGACTATTTCGTTAACGATGTATTTAGGCCGTTGATGATGTGATTAGACGGTTCAGATTATAAGTTGGATCTGGCTTCTCTTCCTTTTATAGTAATGGCATGGTGGGTAATTAAAGTGTAAAACACATTTAGTATGCTGGAGGGATGTAGACCATCAGATTGCAGTTTCGATGGATAGGATGATCTGGTTCTCCGCCCTCTCTTTCTTTTATAGTGGTAGTAGATTCGCAAAAAAAGGCTTATATAGTTGTAAAATGGGCAAATTTAGCTGTGAACCCGGGTACCGCTCCTTCGGAGCAAAAAATATTGTGAATCAGCAACCAAAGAAAATAACTACAACGTTGTTGATGAGTTATGAGTTTAGGAGAACAAGGACGTGGTGGGAGAGCTTCCCTCTCTCTGAACCTAGAGGGATCGCCGTGGAAAACATCGATCCGACGGTGGAAATGACTGCTTAAAACATGATGGTACACACTAGAAGAACTAAAGGAGGCGATCCTCACCGGGGAGGAGCCTGGTGAGCAAAACAACCATTTTACAGTAAACTAACATCGGGGGCATGTTTTTTTAGTTCTTTTTTAGTTTTCTTTCCAGTTTGAATTGTGTGTTTAGTGTTCTGTTCAGCAGTGGCAAGCAAGAGAAATTAAAAACACTATAATAGCAAAATAAAAAAGCCTTGAACTTTGGGAGCATTATTAGAAAAGGTGTTCCAACGGAAAAGAGAAAATGCTGAGGCGTCAAGCCATCAACTTCTGCGACAAAACCTCCATAAGGTGCGGAAAGCTAACATGTGAAGCAACTTAAAATGCTCGACATGGCTTGGATGGAGAGGATACGCTATTGCTTTTCTGATTAGGGTTTGGTGGTCACGCTTAGGGCTAATAACATTTGTCACTCACCTGTAGGTCAGGGTCTAACACTCTGGGCGGTATACATCGTCCGTCACTTACTATGGACTCTGTACACTATCAATGACTTTGTTTAATTAGCAGTCAAATCATACCCCGATTAAATAGCAGTCTGAATTTGGTGACATACACACTTGCAGACCATATTTAAAGTTTTCTCTAGGATTTCTGACTAGACATGTTACTGGTTTGGTCTTTGTGGGTTATGTTATGGTGTACCCTGCTTCAGGTTAAACTCGTCTCATCTCATCCAGACAAAGGTTAATCTGTTTGCTTCAGAAATCAAATAAGGCATACATTTACAAGGAAATCATTCTAGGCTATGTATGTTTCCAAACATTGACTGTTTACTAAGAACAGGTCGAAATAGTATGAAACATTGACTGTTTACTGAGAACAAGGAGAAATAGTATCCATACACCAAATGTATCACACACCAACTCATTCATATGCCCACACATGATAGCCAAGCCAATACATACAGTTATTACCCACACCGAAAAAGGATTCCCCCCGCTTTGTATTCCAAAGCACCAACACCGATTATAGAGCAAACGCTGGGGCGAGCAGCACAACAAGCCAAAGAAAAAGAAAAAGAAACAATGCCAGCACCGGCAGCTCGACAGACGCGAATGACCTACAACCGCTGCGCCCTCCGAAATCTACCCACCACGATCCTAGGCTCCGATCCTCCGTGTACCAAGCAGCACCTCCAGGAAGGAAACGACGCTGACGACGCTGCTGCCCGGACGTATCCTAGGGTTTCCCCCGGCACACGGAGGGAAGAGGGGAATGAAGACCACCGACACCCTCCAGGGAGGAATGGTGGCACCCGCAGGCGTCACCGCACCGGAGCCGGAAGATCCGGCAAGGATTTCTCCCAACTCCAAACCCCACCGCCCAACCGGATCGAAGCCATCCAACCAGCTCGCCGCCCACCGCCCACCAGCATGCGCCACCGCGGTTGCAACGCCACCCATGCCGCCTCACTGAGATCGCCACCACGAGGCCAAGAGAACGAGGAGGAGGCGTTGGACGATGGGAGCAGCAGCGCCGTAGCCGCGCGGGAGGGAACCACCTCCTTCGCCGTCGTGCAGGAGGCTTGAGCCTCCGGCACCGTCGCGGTCGCTGTCCGGACGCAGCAGCAGGGCATACCAGGCCACCCCTGGCCCGGCCAGGCCCAAATCGGGCCCGCTAAGCCCCGCCGGCCACACTGCAGCAGGGCAGCGCCAGCACCGCCAGCACCCCAATGCCCATCGCTGCTCCCCCGCCTCCTGGGAGCCACGCCGTCGACCCGCCCCGCCGTCGACCCGCCCAGACCCAGATGGGGCCCGAAGGGCCCAGATCTGGGCCGAGCGGGCGTCGCCTGGCCGCGCCACCCCGCCGCCAACGGCGACGCCGCCGTCCAGCCGATCTCCCGCACCGCGCTAGGAAGCCCCGCCGCCACACCGGACCGCCGCCGCCTAGGGAACACCCCCCGGCGTCCTCCGCCCCGCGCCGGAGAGCAACCGAGAGGGGAATGGCCGGGGGCCGCCGCCACCAGCGTCGCCCGGGCCAGGCCCGGCGGCGAACACCGGCGACGGCGGCGGGGAGGGGGGAAAGAGGGGGAGCTGGCGGAGGAGGAGCCGGGGCGCGGCCGGTCGCCCGTGGGGGCGACGCGGTCGCGAGAGCCCGAGGGGGCGTTATTACCCACACACCAACTCATTATTCTTAATCAAGCCACACGCCTTAAATTATTATCCACACAGCAACTCATATACATATGTCCATACACAATGAAGAAGCCACACACACACACACATTAAAATGGGCATTTGTCAAGGGGCCATATCTCGACACACTGTAAAAACCCATTGAACCTGTAAACGTGACCAGCTTCCACTGTGGCTTCGGCAACTTGCCCGCCATAATGCAACCGTAAAGCTGAATTGTTTCTGTTGTTAAACCACAGCACTGCTTCCTGGAGCTCCCCTTTCTCCCAGAAGATGCTGACAGTGGTGTCACCCCGGGCCCTCAGCCCTTTGACACACCCTTCAGGCCACTTGTCGCGTGGAAGCGCGGGCAGTAGATGCAGGTCAGTGGGAGTGCTCTGAAGCAACATTTCAGCGATCGCAGCTGCGAATCTGCAAGACAGTACAGAATTGGAGATGCTAATGTTACTTTCAGAGTTGGTTAATTGGTAATTACGCAACCCAGAAACTGTCAAACTGATCAGACAGAATGAAGCATATATCGTATACTGAAAAAGTAAGAACATTTCGTACCCAAAGTTTCCATCGATCTGGAATGGTGGGTGTGCTGTCCACAGATTGGTGTACAGTCCTCCTTCGAACCCAACTTTTTCACCAGGTGGAGCCAACGTGATTAACTTTAGGATCATTCTGTATGCATTTTCGCTGTTAAGAAGGCGCGCCCACAAAGCCATCTTCCACGTGCTTGACCATCCAGGTCCATCTTCCCCTAGTAAGAAACAACGATGTATTAACTTCCGATTTGAGGAGAAATGTCCCTTTATTAGTAAGTGTTATGCAAACCTCGTTTGTGAAGACTATTAGAAATAGCTTCGCAAATCTCAGGATTTCTCTGCATGGTTATAGTATGACCAGGATAAAGACCGAAGAGATGTGACAGGTGCCGATGGGTAACTTCAGGGTCCTTAAAATCTTGTGCCTCCGTGAAAAAAACCAAGATGTGAGTCGAATTATAATAGAAATAAATCCAAACCCAAGCAGAGCTTGAGCATTTACCCATTCCATGAGTGTTTGATCTTCAGCAATCGTATTCTGAGGGAGCCTTGGAAGCGCTTCCTTGATCTTCTGGACCAGAGGAGTATCAGATTTTCCTAAAATCTGTTGCGTAGTAGCATCAAAATATTATGTTTGAGAGATGATCGAGTCAACACACATTTCACAAACAAAAACAAAAAAAACTACACCAGCATATATTTTTATCTTTCTGATTACATTTTACATTGTTATAACCAGTTAGGGCATCAATTGTTACCTCTGCAGAAGAAATGACTGCCGAGAATATCTCTCGGATGATTGCGATATCCATTGTAGTTGAATAGCTTACACTAGCTTGCTGACCACCACTCCCTGGAGCAATGAAAACATGCTCGGGAGAAGTAGAGGGGTTTGTTTCCAAAAGACCTCGAGGTCCCTCAATCAACCAATCAGTCAGAAACAGCGCACATCCTTCCAACAATGGATATGCAGTGTTCTTCAAAAAGTCCTAGAAGAAACATAAAAGAATAACAAGAATTTCAAAACTGTGAGATGCCAAATGATACTGCTGTAGGAACACTGGGACATCCTTGATACAGTTTTAACAAGAAATATAGTTTCAGAAAACACTCCAGTGTTGCAGAACCCCATAATTATGTGAGTATCAAGGTAGTAACGAATCGAAGACAAGTTGCACAATAAGAGAATAACAATGTGGTAACATAAAACTTGCAAAACATTGAGACGTTGTAACCAGACTATATTTGCAAAATAATATGAGGTAGTAAGAATATTTATATGAGCTAACAACATTAAAGCATATCTGTTTCTTACTTTGTCCAATAAATACTGGTAGTGCTCCCAAAGATGCGTACAAAGCCAGGCACCCCCCATTGGCCACACTGAGAACCTGGCATCTTCATTGTAAGCTGATGATTTTGCCCATATGTCTGAGACGTGGTGAGTTACCCAGCCACTTGCTTGGTAATTGATCTGTCACAAACAAAGAATTCCCCCAGCAATCAGATGTTTTGATTCTTCTACACGTTAAGGATGTTATGAATGGAAGAAAGACACTGATCTCGTCTAGGTAACTTCGCCTCAGTTTAGAGTTAACAAGTATAAGCACAATTATCATAAACAAACATACTGTTTGCAGGACTTAGCAGTCAGAACAAAATCTAAAGTTCAGTGACTATCTGTCTACCTTTGTGTCATGGATCTAAATCAGATAGTCTACTGTCAACCTATTTTTATTTTTGTGTGCGACATGCAGATGTGTGTATGTGTGTGTGTGTGTGTTTAGCTCCCGCGGCGAGATAACACATCTCTAGCAACTGTCGTGGGACCTAAGAAATTAAACTGTTCAGTAAGTAGATTTGAGTGATGCCTTTACAAAGTTGGCCATGTGTTGTCTGGTGGCATATGACATATTTTTCCCTAGTATAACTCCGCAAGGTATTACAATTCTATTCTCATGCTACTCATATTTGTGGTAACCTCACTGTTTCACTAAAATCAAATATTGAAAGCAGTAGAACTTACTTTTGCAGTCTTAGTTCCGTTAACTGCAAGAGATGCTATGAAATCAAGTAGTGGTTCTTGGCATTCAGTAAGGTTACAAGGAAGTGTTGGCCAATAATTCATCTGAAGATTTATGTTGAGGTGCGGAGCACACCTGCAAAATTAAAACAGTATGGATCACAAACAAAAAAGAGAAAATGCAGCCCCTAGCAATATCTCCCAGTTGCCTTAGTTAGCAAGTCAGATATTTTAATAGTCAATTCATCAGCAAGTGCATGTATTAGAGTAGGTAGTTACTGCCTCACATATAAAAAACAGATAAGGGAAATGAAAAATAAAGGATATCGATGCAATAACTTTAGACATAAGAATAACTTACTCCCATCCAGGAAAGAGATCTTGATTCCAAATTCCTTGCAGATTAGATATCTGTGTTCCAGGTCGAGAGCATGAAATGAGCAGATATCGACCATATTGGAAGAGAAGTTCAACCAAAGAAGAATCCTCGTCGCTTCGAAAACCATTCACTCTTTCTGCTGTAGTCTTGACGGCATCACCAACTTCTTTCATGTTTATTTTTTCTATAGCTGCTGCTTGTGATAGCCGCAGACTAACACGGTGAAAAAGACCCTGGTAATCTTTCAAATGAGCAGCTTTGAGCTGATCAAATGTGAGATTCCTAATCATATTCATGACCCTCAGAGCAGCTGATTCAGGATCCAGTTTTGAGTCTGACGGATTCACAAGAGGCCCATTGAATGAGGAAGCAGCTGTAACCCGCAAAAGAACCCAATCTGCATTGTCAATTCTCAAACTTTGATCATTTAGAACTGCTACTTTTGCAGCAGTGCCGCTCATCTGCAGGCTAAGGACAGCTGCAAACCCGATACCAGTAGCATCGTTGGCTTCATTTTCTTGTAGCTTGTGTCCTTGTACTGGACAGGTGCCATCCATGATCATCTCATTTGCATTCATTACACGAACTCTGTGGTTTAACTTACTATTTAACGATAAAGTCAATGATACATGTTCTGGTTTGTTTGCTGAAATTTTGGTAACAATGACCTGGTGTGGATTTGAGCAGAAGTGCTCCCTTGTGTACTGAACTTCTCCAATGTTGTACGTGATAATTGTGGTAGCAGTATGCAGATCAAGCTCCCTTTTGTAGGAACTATACTCCTGATTGGATGTGTCAAACTCTAGATTCATATCTCCAAGAGGTTTGTAGACCTTCATAGCATCAAGATAAGATAGTGTTATGAACTTCTATTGCAGATGTGTAATACTGCATCTTGCAACAATAACTTTCAACTTGAAAATCAATGGTAAGTTTAGTTCAATTTCTTTGGCTAGGATATGCTATTTTTGGAAATAAGCATGCTACTTTTCAACTTATAACAGGTTAACGAAACAATGACCTTTTACCTTAAGTGGTTTTTACAAGTAAGAAAAAAAAGGTCTCTTCCAACATTTTTTTTGCCGACGGACCATACAGCCATGGTGCAGTAAAGGCTAAAATGTTGCATATATCGTCAACCAAAGGCCCAACCATAACAAAGTAAAGCACACATTTAATGTGCAGTAAGATGCATCATATCATAATTCGGAACAATACTCAACGACGGCAAGGATCAAGGAATTCATGGTGCTAGGTCTGGCCTCACCGTGACACGACAATCAATAGCATGCTCCGACGTGCAAAGCAGAACACCGTGGCATATAGCATACCTCTGTTAGACCACCGAAAAGGCCCGAAGCCGCGCTGGTGGCATCCACAAACCGTCCTTCATCGACGAGCTTCCTGACGGCGGCAAGGGCGGCAGGTGCTTTCGGGTCGGTGTAATCTCCCGGCACACCGCTCCAGAGAGTGTCAACTGCAAAAACAATTATGGTTACTTTTATCATCCTTTCACTTGCCAAGTTGCCATGATACATAATCATATAAGGGAGGGTGGTTTGGTTAGGGAGTTTCGTCGAACACCCTCCAGGTGCCGTTCTTGGACGAGTCACGAGTCACAACACTCTGTTTGCTGATTCCAGTACGTGCTCCGTTTGAAACAACCGTCATGAACAGGGAAAGGAATGGCAAAAGCTTAGGCAACGGGGGAGGCAGCTGGTACGTACGGTTGAGCTGGAGCTTCTCGGAGGCGACGCCGCCCCAAACCATGGCGCCGAGGCTGCCGTTCCCGATCGGCGCCGAGTCCGTGAAGTGCTCCGCCGGCGACGCGAACACCACCTTCAGCGGCCGCTCCTCCGCCTCCTCGTCCGCCCACCGGCGCGCCCGGACCCGGTCGCCGTCCATGAGTGGAGCGGTGGTCAGCGGTGGAAGAGGGAGGAGGAAATCTTGGACAAGCGGCGCGGGGCGAGCGAGTGCTTTGGCAGGGGAGGGGGCCTGCGGGGCTTTTTCAGGGTGGCAGAGCTTCCATTTTCGCAGTGGCGTGTACTGTATTTGGCGCCAACGGAGAGGACGAAGCGCATCGTGCAGCGTAGCTTCAAAATGGCAGTGTGCGCCTTGCAAGGCTGGCTGGCTGATCCGTCTGCGTGATCGATGGATGCGGCCATTGCGTGGCACTGTGCGCGCGCTGGTGGAGTGCACGGCATGCCATGCCGATCCTGATTTGGCGAGCGTCGTGTCGTGCACCGGCAAGGCTTTCCTTTCTTCATAGGGAGGCTTTTGGTTTCATGTCGCGTTGTGGCGGTATTGCTCGCACCGCATTTTAAGCCCGGCCTCTTTTCTGATCATTATACATCTGGCAACAATATTGCTAATCTGTTCTCGTGTGATCATGGTATGGAGGGTGGAGTGCACGGCACATCCATATGATTATTGTTATGGGCTAAGCAAAAGAACTCGTGCGTTGTAACGGGAGCAAAAAAGAATCGTAATCGCCAATGACTAGGACCGCATTTTGCTGCATCATCGAGATACTCTGTCTCCTCCTTTTGAATTAGTTAACCAAGTGTAAGGAGTTATTACCTTCATTAGTTGATATATTATTGAGAACCCAAAATCATGAGGATCATACATTTACACACACAAACTAAAAAAAATAAATGAATACAAAATTGGTGTTTAATTGGTAATTAAGTTACCAGATGTACATTAGTGATTACAAAATTCTTTCTGACCTTTAGAAACATGCTAAGAGAGTTTGCACGTAACATGAAGAATATTTTTTCTCTCTCTAAGGAGTGTGCAAAGAAGATTACCCTAGTTATATCAGGTCAGTTGAATAGCAGTTGTTGAGCTTAATCAAATATCAAGGTTTCATGTTTGGACGGTAAGGAGAGGCAAAGGATTTTCAGGCTCTATGCCAACAATGGGATTGCTCCTATTGTCGAGAGGTTACAACCATGGAAAAAGATGCAACCAGCGGGTGGCCTAATGATGATGGCGACATGGCGGCTGTTAGCGGTGAGGAGTCTATAGAGAAAGGCAACATGAGCGACCACGAGAGACAGGGTATGAGATGTGGTTGTAAAGGGCTTAGGTGTTGAAGTATGTCTTTGTCACATCGTCTCCGTCGCCGCACACTGCGGTCACGTTGTTGGCTAGGATCAAGGAGAGAGTTGCACCACTGGCGGCCATGCGGAGGTGAGCCTGCATCGCCGAGCAGTTACGTTGTCGGGGGGCCATCTGTGGCCAAGGTGCCGTGATGGTGCTCCTTGGATAGGTGGAATTGCGCAGTGAGCTTCTCCTTGAGGTCTTGCGCCTCGGCTGACTTTCCCAGGAGCTACCCGTGGATGTCATCGAGCACGGCCTCGCGATGCAGTGGCATGGGAGGCAACGGGGTGTGGTGTGGTGAAGGGAATCGGAAGGTACGAGAGGGGTTCGCTTTTTCTTAGAACAATGAGACGGGTTCGAGGGCGGAAAATCCTATAAGACGCTCTCTGTGTCAAGGAGTTGACCAAACACACACAGAGCACACCAAGCGATCTAAAATGGGCTGGCCTTTTTGTTCATAAATTTAAATAATTGTTTGGAAATTTTAAGCTTTATTAAAAATTTCAAAAAATGTATGTGTTTTTCAAAAGTGTTCGGAATTTTCAAAAATGATGCTTTAAAAAAGAATTTTTAAAAAATGTTCATGTTTTCAAAAAAAATCACAAAATAAAAAATGTACAGGAATATAAAAAAGTTCAACTGTTTAAATAATTATTCTATTTTTTAAAAAAATATCAGAATTTCAAAAAAATGTTCTTGATTTCAAATTTTGTCCAAAAATTCAAAGAAATGTTCCCGTTTTCAAACTTTTGTCCAAGAATTAGAAAAATGTTCCCATCTTACAAAACTTGTTCACAAATGAAAAAAAGTTCCCATAGTTTAAATTTATGCACAATTGAAACATTGTTCACATTTTTTAAAAATGGGTTTGTTAAAAATTGTTCGGAATTAAAAAGAATTATTCTGAATTTCAAGAAGTGTTTTGAAAAAAGTCAAATAATATTCCACTCTGCCCCTGCAGTTAATTCTTAAACTTTTGCATGGCATAATAGTCACAAATATGCATAGGCTTCACTGGCTAGCAATATGCCTCCGCAAGGTGTTGGTTGCGAGTTAAATTCCTCAATATTGCACCAAAAATATTTATATTTATCTAGTACTTGTGGGCTGGCCCAGACGGGTCTCCCCTTGCGAAACGAAGCATTTTTTCCATCAAAGGGAATGTTTTTTTTTGTCACTTACAGGTGGCATCGATGGGTGATATTTTACAACTTTGAGGGCAATTTATGTGACGGGCAAACACAAATGTTTGTCCATATTTTAGTAGGTAAAGATATAGATAAAGATAAAGATATGTATGGATATAGATTTCAGGTGGGCTAGGTACGCCGTGCGTCCGTGCAGTCGTTCAACTAATATTTTTTTTACCCCCTCTAAAAAGAAAGCTAATGTTTTTTCAGGTGGGTTGGATACATACCCGGTGCATCTGTGTGTCCAGCTAATGTTTTGCTTTGTTTGCATAATCTTGGGGTGTCCTTTTTATATCCATTTCAACAACTATTATATGACCCCCCCCCCCCCTTATCTAGTTTTGCT